CATGTTGGGACTGGCAGGTCCTTGCAGATTGCCTTCCCTGAATTCCAGGCAGGTGTTGCCTCCTCCTCCTTCTCTCTCTCTCTCTCTCTCTCTCTCCCTCTCTCTCCCTCTCTCTCTTGCTCTCTCACTCTCACACTCACTCACACACACACACACAGTCACACACACACACATACACACTCTCACATTCACACACACTTTCACATGCTCACTCTTCACACTTATACACTCACACTCCCTTACACACACACTCAAACACACAATCACAGTCACACATACACACACTCACACGCTCTTTCACATGCACACACTCACTCTCACACACACTCACACATTCAAACACACAGTCACACAATCACACATACACACTCTCACACACACACACTTTCACATGCTCACACTCATACACACTCTTACACACTCACACTCACATGCACACACTCACTCTCTCACACACACTCAAACACACACACACCAGTCACACAGTCACACATACGCTCTCACACTCACTCACACTCTTTCACATGCTCACACTCACACACTCACTCTTACACACTCTCACTCATGCACACACTCACTCTCTCACAGTCACACATACACTCTCACACTCATGCACTTTCACATGCTCACACTCACTCATACACTCACTTTTACACACACTCACTCACACACTCTTACACACTCTTTCACATGCACACACTCACACTCTTACACACACACTTACACTTTCACATGCTCACACTCACACACTCACTCTTACACACTCACACTCGCTCACTTTCACATGCTCACTCACACACACTCATACACACACACACACATACTCACACAGAAACTCTCTCTCTGTAAAATCTAGTTCTACTTCCACCTCTTTATCTACCTGCTGCTACCTACGTGAAGTATTTATTGAATTGGCAGCTGGTTAGCAAACTTCCCTACTACCAGTCACCTTTGACCCGTACGTAAAAGGCAGGAGATGGGCAAAGAAGGAGCAGAATGACTAGAAGAAGGTATCTGAAGCTCAGGGTTGAAGCTCAGGGGTGAGGCCATAGGAGTCTTAAGAATGACAGAGTGGGAAGGGACCCTGGAGGTCTTCTAGTCCAACCCCCTGCTCAAGCAGGAGAGACCCTAGACCATTTCAGACAAGGGACTGAACAGTCTCTTCTTTAAAAAAAAAACCTCCTGTGATTTCTTAAACAGGATGGCTTGGAAACGGGAGTGGGTGGCCCTTCTTTTTCACGAACCTCTGCTGAGCCGCAAGAGGAGGACATCTGGGAAAGTTGGTTTTTTTTCTTCTTCTTTTTTTTCCCCTTTTTTTCCTTTTTCCTTCTTCCTCCCCCTCCTCCCTCTCGAGCCTGGAGGACAGCAGCGGGCCTTCCTTTATCGTTGAAACAACACGTTAATCTTCATTTTGATCCTCCCCAACCAACAGTAATAAGAATTTTGTTTGGGGGAAAAGCTCTTTTTTTATCGGGAGCATCTGTTTGGAAGGATTTGAAAGGAGGAGTTCTGCAGACGGGCCTCTGCCTCTCTCCTTTGATGCTTCCATCGGCTGGAAAGAAAGAAGAAAGAGAAAGAAAGAAAGAAAGAAAGAAAGAAAGAAAGAAAGAAAGAAAGAAAGAAAGAAAGAAAAAAAAAAAATATGTGGGAACTCTCCCGGAGGTTTTGACCGCTGGCGCGGCCAAAATGGCAGCCTCCCCCCTTCTCCCCCCCCCACGCTCCTGTCCTGTGGGCCATCTGGTCGTCCCTCGCGAAGGGTGCATGACAACGGATAGGGTTGGACTAGAAGACCTCCGAGGTCCCTTCCACCTCTGTTCTGATTGATTGATTGATTGATTGAAATGGTCTAGGGTCTCCTGCTTTTGAGCAGGGGGTTGGACTAGAAGACCTCCGAGGTCCCTTCCGGTTCCTGCGTGTGCCCACACCCACAATTCTATGCGACCCACCCCCCACACATGCGCACGCAACCCCCCCCCCTTTGCCCTCCCCCGACTTCTGGCATGTGATGGCAAGGTAGGACCGTTTTTAGCCCTCCCCAGGCACCAGAGCCTTTCTAGGAGGCTGGGGAGGATGAAAACCGCCTTCCCCGCTCCACTGAAGGCCCTCCGGAGGCCAGAAAAGGCCCGTTTGCCAACTTCCGGTCTCATGGACAGCCCGTTTTTTACTCTCCCCAGGCTCCAGAGCCGGTGGGGCTGGGGAAGGCGAAAATGGCCTTCCCCACCCCCACCGGAGGCCTTCCGGAGGCCGGAAACAGCCTTTTTCCTGACTTCTGGTAGGCCCAAAAGGCCCAAAAATCAGCTGGCCGGCGTGCGCATGCACGCCAGAGCTGAGCTCGCGTGCCCACCGATATGGCTCCGCGTGCCACAGGTCTAGGGTCTCCTGCTCGAGCAGAGGGCTGGACTAGAAGACCTCCGAGGTCCCTTTCCGACTCCGTTAATTATTCTCCGTCCCTTCCCGCCTGGCGATTCCGTGACTCTGGGAGTTTCAACCCGGCGTGCTGGTCCCCAGCAGCCTCTCATCCTCTGCAGCTGCAGCCGGACTGAGTCCCGTGCAGAAGGAGGCAGCGGGGAGCAGCCAGGAGCAGGGAGGGAAAAAAAAATAATAAAAAATACAAGCATCTCATCCTGGCCTTCGGGAGGGAAGTGGTTTCGAGGGAGCCTCTGGTGATCACAACGGCTGCCCAGGCCGAGGGAGGTTCCTGGCAGCCGCTGTCCTCCTCCTGCTGATTTTGGCCCGATCTCTACGGCTTTGGCTTCTCCCCGAACGGCCCTGGGATACAGTGAGCCTCCTCAAGACGTGACAGGGCCAGCCCCATCCGTCTCCCAGACAAAGGACAGCTGTTGGGAGCTGGGGAAGCCCACAGGCTGCAGGACAGGTTTGGGGAGGGGGCTTATCCTGGGGAGAGGGGGGGGTGGAGAGGAGACCAGCACCCTGAAATGAGGGGTTTATGTGGGAACAGGCTGGATATGTCCAGGTTAAGCAGCATAGAATAGAATATAGAATAACAGAGATGGAAGCCCTAAAATTCTATGATTCTGAGATGGATGAGATGCATGACAGACAGGCGGATGGATGGATGGATGGATGGATGGATGGATGGATGGATGGATGGATGGATGGATATAGGATTCATGACAGAGGGAGGGAGGCAGAGAGGAAGGAATGGATGGATGGATGGAATGGAATGGATGGATAAATGGTACCAAGAGTTTTGGTAGTACAGTGGTCTAAAGCACCCTGTTATTAACACAGCTGCCTGCAATTACTGCTGGTTCGAATCTCTCCAAGGCTCAAGGTTGACTCAGCCTTCCATCCTTTCTAAGGGAGGTAAATTGAGGACCCAGTTTGTGGGGGCAATAAGCTGACTTTGTATAAATATACAAAAAGTACGAAGGCTATTGCTGAGCACATTGTAAGCCGCCCTGAGTCTCCGGAGAAGGGCGGCATATAAATCAAATTAAAAAATAAAAAATAAATGTTATAGTGGTACAGTCTTCTGCCTGAACAGGGGGTTGGATTAGATGATCTCTGAGGACCCTTCCAAGCCCTATGATTCTATGATTCTGAGATAGATGAGATGCATGACAGACAGGCAGATGGATGGATGGATGGATGGATGGATGGATGGATGGATGGATGGAACAGCTTCCCTTCAGAAGTTGTGCGTGCTCCATCCTTATTTATTTATTTATTTATTGTTTCGATTTATATGCCACCCTTCTCCGGAGACTCAGGACGACTTACAATGCGTTAAGCAATAGCTTTCATATTTTTGTATATACCTGCTTAGTAGGGCTTTCGGCCCCTCCCTAAGCGGTGTTTTTTTTTTTATATACAAAGTCATCTTATTGCCCCCACAAACCGGGTCCTCATTTTACCTACCTCGGAAGGATGGAAGGCTGAGTCAACCTTGAGCCTGGTGAGATTCGAACTCGCAGTAATTGCAGGCAGCTGGTGTTACTTAACAGCGCTTTAGTCCGCTGCACCACCAAGGCTCTTGGAGGTTTTCAAGAAGGAACTGGACAATAAATTTGTCTGAAATGCTCTAGGGTTCTCCGTTTTGAGCAGCGGGGTGGACTAGAAAACCTCCAAGGTCCCTTCCAACGATGTTGTTCGGCCTTTTCTCCCCAAATCTTCAGCAACGGCGGGGGCACCTCTTGGCAATTGCCACGCCAGGGTCTTTGGGTTTATGAAGCAGAGGATGAGGCCAGCTCCCTCTGGTTGGGGTCCTTCTGCCTGGAGACTCCCCCAACCGCCTCCTTTTCACCTCGGGAAACCCAAATGATGTTTCCAACCGGTTGTCTCCTCTTCCCTCGCAGGTACTTGGCCAAGCTCTCTTCGGTGGGCAGCATCTCCGAGGAGGAGACCTGCGAGAAGCTGAAGGGCCTCATCCAGCGCCAAGTCCAGATGTGCAAGAGGAACCTGGAGGTCATGGACGCCGTGCGCCGGGGAGCCCAGCTGGCCATCGAGGAGTGCCAGTTCCAGTTTCGTAACCGCCGGTGGAACTGCTCCACCTTGGAGAGCCTGCCGGTATTTGGCAAGGTGGTCACGCAAGGTATGGTGGGGTCCCCGGCCTGGGAGGGGTGGGGGAGGGGGAGGTTGGTGGGGAGGGAGGGAGGGGAGGGGGCTTTTGACCGTGTGGGGAATTCTGGGAGTCCATGCGTTTTGAAGTCACCGTGGTTGAGGAACACTAGATATTACAGCTCTCAGTTCTTCTTCTTCTCCTCCATCATTCCTTCATCATCTTCTGTGTCTTCCAACCCTCCTTCTTCTTCCTTCTCCTCCATCTTCTCCTGTCCTTCTAAATCTCTCCTTTCCTTCTACTCCATCACTCCTTCTTCTCCATCCTCTCCTGTCTTCCAGGCCTCCTCCTTTCTTCTTCTCTTCCTCCTCCATCTTCTCCTCTTCCAACTCTCCTTCTTCCTTTTCTCCTTCATCACTCCTTCTTCTCCATCCTCTCCTCCACCTTCTCCTCTTCCAACCCTCCTTCTTCTTCTTCCTCCATCCTCGTTGTATCCTGTCTTCCAACTCTCCTTCCTTCCTTCCTTCTCCTCCATCACTCCTTTTTCTCCATCCTCCATCTTCTCCTCTTCCAACCCTCCTTTTACCTTTTCTTCCTCCATCCTCACCTTCTCCTGTCTTCTAGCTCTCCTTCCTTCCTTCCTTCTCCTCCATCACTCCTTTTTCTCCATCCTCCACCTTCTCCTCTTCCAACCCTCCTCCTTCCTTCTCTTCCTCCTCCTCCTCTGTCTTCCAACCCTCCGACTCCATCTCTCCTCCTTCCTTCCTTGTCCTCCTCCATCACTCCCTCTTCTCCATCCTCTCCTCCCCTTCTCCTCTTCCAACCCTCCTTCTCCCTTCTTCCTCCATCCTCATCTTATCCTGTCTTCCAACTCTTCTTCCTTCCTTCTCCTTCATCACTCCTTCACCATCCTCTCCTCCACCGTCTCCTCTTCCAACCCTCCTCCTTCCTTCTCTTCCTCCTCCTCCTCCTCCTCCTCCTCCATCACTCCCTCTTCTCCATCCTCTCCTCCACCTTCTCCTTTTCCAACCCTCCTTCTCCCTTCTTCCTCCATCCTCATCTTATCCTATCTTCCAACTCTCCTTCTTCCTTCCTCCTCCTCCATCACTCCTTTTTCTCCATCCTCTCCTTCTCCACCTTCTCCTCTTCCAACCCTTCTCCCTTTTCTTCCTCCATCCTTACCTTCTCCCCCTTCTCCTCTGTCTTCCAACCCTCCTTCTCCTTCCTTCCTTCCTTCCTTCTCCTCTTCCTCCTCTGCACAGCTTTCATTTAATAATTCAGCCTTCCTAGTCGCTTCACCAGAGCCGGCAATAAAATCTTGCCGCGCAGAACAAGAGTTTTGGCCCAGAGCTGCCAAACGTGATGGAGACATAAATTCCTTTTTATCGCTCCCTGCTTCTAATGTTCAAATACTTTTTTTTGTTTTGTTTTGTTTTGGCAAGGGAGTTTCTTCGCAGCTGCACCTTACGGACAGATTTTCAGGGAATTTGCTGCAGGGGGGGGAACGAAAGTCAGGAAAAGGGGCGAGATTGGGTAGAAAGTCTTCTCCCTAAAAGATTGCAGCTTCTTCTGCATTTGTTGATGGCTGGAATTAAATCTGCCCTGCCGTTTTAACCAAGGAAGCGAGCCCTCATCCTTTTCAAAGCGCCCCCCCCCCCCGCCACTTTAGCTTCTTATTTAACTTTCTCTTGCTTGTCTTCAGGGAGGGGAGAGAAGGAGGGAGGGAGGGGGGGGAACGCTGCCTGGAGATCTGTGCCCTGGAAATACCAAAAATACCAAGGAATGAAGCTCTCGGTCTCTCTTTTTCGGGCGTGCGGCCGCAGAGCAAAACCGGCTCCGTTTTTTTTAGCCTGTCATTAACCACAATTAATTCAAAAGGTCGTGCAATCTGGCTTCTCCAGATTGGAAATCCTGCCCGGAGCCAAAAGTGCCCAAGTTTGGAATTCTTTTTTTTTCTTTTTTTCCAAACCTCTCCTCTCTCCCAAAGGGGGGGTCATCTCTGTCCTGCATTTGGAGGAGGAGGAGGGGGGGGAGGATGGGCGAGGGAGTTGAAGCGAAGGGCAGAGAGACAGAAGCCTCTGTCATGGGGCCGTCCCAACCGCCCTTGGCAGGAACGGGATGTCATGTCGCAAGGTTTAATGGCAGAACCCGCTGAAACCAATGTTCCCTCTCCTTCGGCTTGACCCACCCGCCCGCTGGCATCGCGAGGGAGTGGCTGGGCGGTGGGGGGGGGGGAAACAGACCTCCCTCTCTCTTTAGAAGGGCACTTCGGCTTCTCCAGAGGGAGTGGGGGAAATGGGCTTGAAGGACGAATCGTTGCGGTCCATTTCTCCCAGGGTAGGAGATGAATGGAGTCGGAAGGGACCTTGGAGGTCATCTAGTCCACCCGAGAAGGAGACCCTATATCATTTTTGACAGATGGGCAGTCCAGTCTCTTCTTGAAGGCCTCCAGGGATGAAGCTCCCACAACTTCCATAGGCAACTTCTGTTCCATCGGTTGATGGTTCTCACTGTTAGAAAAATTTCTCCTTATTTCCAGGTTGAATCTCTCCTTGGTCAGTCTCCATCCATGATTCTTTGTCTGGCCTTGGAAAAGAGCTTGACCCCTTCCTCCTCTCTGGGGCAGCCCCATAAATATTGGAAGATGCTCTCCTGTCTCCCCTGGTCCTTCTCTTCACTAAGACTAGCCATGTCTTCTGTCCATCTATGGTTCATTCAGATGTCTGTCTGTCTGTCTGTCTTTCTTTCTTTTCTTTTCTTTTCTTTCTTTCTTTCTTTCTTTCCTTTCTTTCTTTTTCTGTCTTTTTTCTTTCCTTCCTTCCACCTTCCTTCCTCTTTCCTTCCTTCCTTCCTTCCCTCCCTCCCTCCTTCCTTCCTTCCTTTTGCTTTGGAGAATAGCTTGACCCCCTTCCTCCTCTCTGGGGCAGCCCTCCAATATTGGAAGATGCTCTCCTGTCTCCCCCTGGTCCTTCTCTTCCTAGACTAGCCATGTCTTCTGTCCATCTATGGTTCATTCAGATGTCTTTCTTTCTTTCTTTCTTTCTTTCTTTCCCTCCCTTCCACCTTCCTTCCTCTTTCCTTTTTTCTTTCTTTCTTTCTTTCCTTCCTTCCTTCCTTCCTTCCTTCCTTCCTTCCTTCCTTCCTTCCCTCCCTCCCTCCCTCCCTCCCTCCTTCCTTCCTTTTGCTTTGGAAAATAGCTTGACCCCCTTCCTCCTCTCTGGGGCAACCCCTCAAATATTGGAAGATGCTCTCCTGTCTCCCCTGGTCCTTCTCTTCACTAGACTAGCCAGGCCCAGTTCCTGCAACCGTTCATCGTATCTTTGAGCCTCCAGTCCCCTAAAATCATCCTGGTTGCTCTTCTCGGCACTCTTTCCAGAGTCTCAACCTCTTTTTTTATAGTGTGGTGGCCAAAACTGGATGCAGGACTCTAGGTGTGGCCTTACTAAGGCTTTATAGAGTGGTATTAGTAAACTCCCTCGATCTTCATTGTATCCTTCTGTTAATGCAATTTAGGATTGCATTGGCTTTTTTTTTTGGCTCATATTTAACTGGTTGTCCACTAAGACTCCAAGATCCTTCTCACAGTTACTGCTCTTAAGCTTGGTTTCACCCAGTCTTTATGTGTCCTTTTGGGCGTTTTCTTCTTGCCCAAGTTGGGTAAGAGAGGAGATTTGAGGGGTGGGATGGAGTAGCTTGCTGCTATAGGGGTGGGCCAAACCCACTTTTCCTCGAGGGTGTTCCCAGCGTTTGCCCCTTCCACAGTTTAACCCCCGTTGCAATCGTCGTAAGGACGGAAGGAGGAGGGAGGCAGCGGATGACGTCTTCCCAACAAAAAGCTGGAGAACATCTGGAGAACTTTTAGTGTGGTTGCCATCGGGGGTTTTTTTTTTTCCTCCCCAAGAGCTTGGAGGCAACAGAGTTCATGTCCCAAGGAGAGAAGAGGCTCCTGTCCAGTTCCGTTGGGTTCTTCCTCCTCTTTTAGCGACGTCCGCAGAATTACAGCCGAGGGAACTGTTGGGGGGGGGGTGTGGTGTTTGGCCGGACCCACCACCCCCTGGCCACGAGTTTGACCCTAAGAGACACGTTTCTGTTTGACTAACCCCTCCCCCCCCCACTCCCAAACTGCTCCCATTCATGCCAGGCTGCCGACCACATCTAGGCATCCTTTTTTTGGGACCAAGAGTTTTTTTTAAAAAAAACACACAGACACACACACACACGGAGAGGTTTTGAACAAATAAAGTGTGTAGTAAGACGAAGAGTCTTTCAAACGAGGAGGTCACGATGCCTTCCGTTTAGCCACCGGATGGGAGAAGGACAACATTTTAATCCGGTGTCTGTCGTGAAAGTTTAGGGTGTTTTTTTTTTCTTCTTTCAAATAATTTTATTTTTCCAAAGCAGGCACATAAAAAAAAATGACATTAAGAGTCGAAAGAGAAAGAAGGAAGGAAAGGAAGAAGAAAGAAAGAAAGAAAGAAAGAAAGAAAGAAAGAAAGAAAGAAAGAAAGAAAGAAAGAAAGAGAAAGGAAGGAAGGAAGGAGAGAGCGAGGGAGAAAAAGAAGGAAGGAAGAAGAGAGAAAGAAAGGAAAGGAGAGAGAAAGGAAGGAAGGAAGGGGAGAAAGAAGGAAGAAAGGAAAGAGAGAAAAGGAAGGAAGGAGAGAGAAAGAAAGAAAGGAAAGAAAGAAAAGGAAAAGGGAGGGAAGGAAGGAAAAAGGGAGGGAGGGAGAAAGAAAAAGAAAGAAACATGTCTTTCTTTTCTTCTTTTTCTTTCTCTTTCTCCTTCTCTCTCTTTTTCTCTTTTAATTTAATTTAATTAGTTCAATTTATATGCCGCCTTTCTCCGGAGACTCAGGGCAGCTTTCTGTTTCTTTCTCTTTCTCTTTTTCTTTCTTCCTTCCTTTCTTCCATACACACCCACAGATACATACACACAGATACACAGGCCGTCCTTGGCTTACGGCAGTTTGCTTTGTGACCATTCAAAGTTACAACGGAAATGGAAATAGTGACTTACGATGGATTCTCACACTTACGACCGCTGCAGCATTCCCCGCGTGATCAAAATTCAGAGGCTTGGCAACCGACTCGTATTTATGACGGTGGCAGAATCCGGGGGGTGGGGGTCGCGGGATTCCCCCTTTTGCGACCTCCTGACAAGCAAAGTCAACGGGGGAAGTCGGATTCATTTAATGACCGGGTTACTAACTGAACCGCTGCATCGATTCGCTTAACCGTTGTGGCCCCCAAAAAAATAAATAAAAAAGGTTGTAGAATGGGACAAAGCTCACTGAACAAGTGTCTCGCATAGCGGCAGAAATGTGGGGCTCCATTGTGGTCGTAACTCGAGGACTGTGCCAAAAAAAAAACCCGATTTCCGACTGCTTCTGAGGATATAAAGAGCTCTGACTTTCAATTCTTAAGTTTGAGACTGTAAATAAAATTATCCGTTTTTCCCTCCCAAAGAAAAGGGGAAATAAATATTCTATTTCCCGCCTTTTAAAAAAATTTTAAGACTCATCAAATCCATATCAAAAATTTGTCTTTCTTTCCCCCCCTCCCTTTCCCCTCTCCATCTCTTGCAAGAAGTGCGTAAAGGACTTCCAATGATATAGATACTTTGAGGTTTGTTTGGTTTTTTCCCTCATGAGGACTGCTAACTTGACCATCGTATTTAGTTTTTGAAAAGTTTTCATTTTTTTGCCTGAAGTTTCTCGGCAGCGATTCAAACGGGGACGGGGACCCAGATAAGAAGATAGATAACCCTTTGTCTGAAGGGGTGGGGGTTCCTGCCTAAGCAGAGCGGGGGGTTGGACTAGATGACCTCCGAGGTCCCTTCCAGCTCTTCTATTCTAGAGTGGGCTGCATTCTCCCCACCGACCCCCCTTGAGAAAAACCAGTTTTCTGATCTAGCAGAAGGTACGAGCACAATGTATATCATGGGGGTCTCTTTCTTTTTTTGGGGTTGGGGGGCTCTGCCAGGGACACGAGAAGCGGCCTTCGTCTACGCCATCTCCTCCGCTGGCGTCGCCTTCGCCGTGACCAGGGCGTGCAGCAGCGGAGAGCTGGAGAAATGCGGTTGCGATCACACGGTCCAGGGAGTCAGCCCTCAAGGTAAGCATCTCCACTTCTCCTCCTCATCCTCCTCCCCT